TGATGATTATGGTATGGAAAAGATGAGAAAAGGGGTAAATATTAGAAAGACAAAGAAAGGGGAAGAAGAAACGAAGAAGGAAAAGAAGAAAAAGGAAAAAGAGGGAAGAAGAATAAAACCACAACAATAATGATGATAAAGATAATAATCACAACAGCAATGATGATAACAAAAGCGTGAAAGTGAGAAGGGGAAAGAGAAGACCGAAAAAAGGAGGGAAAGGCAGCTCGCGGCGGAGGCGACCGTCCGCGGCGCCGCCCTCGCCCTCGCTCCTTCCCGGATTCCCGCGCGCCCTCCTCGCCCTCCTCGCCTTCCTCGCCCTCCTCGCCCTCCTCGCCTCCGCCTACGCCCGGAGCCGGAGCCGCTGCTGCCTTCTTCTCCTCCTTGCCTCGCTCGCCTCGCTCGCTTCTCTTTGCTTCGCTTGCGTCCGGATCTCTTCCTTGCTTTGCATCACTGACTTCCTGCTTCCCTCCCTTGCTTTGACTTTGTCCCTGACCCTTTTCTCTTCCTAATTCTTGCTTCATAGCTCCTTTCCCCGCTTCAAAGGCCTCCTGGCGCTCCTCCCTCCTCCTTCCCGCCACGCCCTCCCTCCCTCCCTCGCCCCGCCTCTGTCCTCCCACACTCCCGTGACTCGCCTCGCCGTTGTCACCCTGATTATTCCGATGACCCCAGCCGTGTCCTGACCTCGATTCCCGTGCTGGCCGAGTCCCCTGTGGTCCCCGAGGGCGTGGCGCGGGTCAGCTGGGCCCGGGATGGAATGCGTCGACGCTCGCTGTCAGCAGATCTTGCCACAGATCTTGCTGCTGCCTCCTGGCTTTCCTTACCCTTGTTCTGAGTCGCCTCGCCCCCTCGTCCCTTCTCCCCTCTTTTGTCGACCCTCTGCCCCCCTTCCCCTTCCTCTGACCTCCCCCCTCACCAGGTCGCTGCACCGGACGCGACACGAGGAGGCGATCTGCCCTCATTACTCACCAGGACGAGTTTTTGCCGAAGCGCCCTCTCGCTGCCACGGGAGGGTTTCACCTTCCGCTGAGGTGGCGCTGGAGGACGAAGAGGAGGACGACGAGGGGGAAGAGGACGAAGAGGAGGACGAGGGGGAAGAGGACGAAGAGAGGAGACGAGGGGGATGAGGACGAAGAGGAGGACGATGGGGAAGAGGACGAAGAGGAGGACGAGGGGGATGAGGACGGAGAGGAGGACGAGGGGGTTGAGGAGGACGAGAGGGAAGAGGACGAAGAGGTGGGCGAAGAGGAGGAGGACGAGGAAGAAGAGGACGAAGAAGAAGAAGAGGACGAAGAGGAAGAGGACGAGAAGGTGGACGAAGAAAAGAGGACAAAGAAGAGGAGGACGAGGGGGAAGAGGACGAAGAGGAGGACTAGGGGGATGGGGGAGGACGAAGAGGACGAAGAGGAGGGAGGACGAGAGGGAAAGAACGAAGAGGAGGAGGACGAGACGGAGGGGAGGAGGAAGAGGTGGGAGAGAGGACGAGAGGAGGACGAAGGAGCGAGAGAGAAGGGACGAAGGAGAAGAAAGAGGAGAGGACGAAGAGGAAGAGGACGAGAAGGTGGACGAAGAAAAGAGGACAAGGAAGAGGAGGACGAGGGGGAAGAAAACGAAGACGAGGAATAGAAGAGGAAGAGGACGAAGAGGAGGACGAAGGAGAGGAGAACGAAGTGGGAGAAGACGAAGAAAATGGCGAAGAGAAAGAAGAGGACGAAGAGGAGGACGAAGAAGAACAGCAGAATGAAGGAGGAGGACGAAGACGAAGATGACGAAGAAGAAGGCAAGGAAGAGGAAGAGAACGAAGAGGAAGAGGGCGAGGAAAATGAGGACGATGAAGAAAAGGACAAAGAAGGAAGGACGAAGGGGATGAGGAAAACGAAAAAGAGGAAGAAGACGAGAAGGAGGACGAAGAAGAAGGGGAGAGGAAAAGGAGGACGAAGAAGAAGAGGAGGAGGGAAAGGAAGAAGAGAAGGTTTAGGACGAAGAGGAAGAGGACAAGGAAGACGAAGAAGGGAACGAAGAGGAAGAGGATGATGAAGGAGAGGAGGAAGACGAGGGGAGAAGGAAGGGAGAAGAGGAGAAAAAGAAAGCGGGCGAAGAGGAGGAGGACGAAGAAGATAAAGGCGAAAAAGAAGAGGACGTGGGAGAAAGAATGAGAGGATGGAAGGATGAAGAGGACTCGAACGAGGAAGAGAAAGACGAAGAGGAAGGTGAAGAAGAGGACGTGAAAGGAAGAGGGCGTGGATGAGGAGAGCAAAGAAGAGGACTGCAAAAAATGGACGAGGAAGAGGAGAGACGAGGAAAGAGGAAGAGGAGGAGGTGGGGGAGAAGGGAAAGGAGGAAGGTGAGGAAAGAGAGAAGGGAGAGGAAGAGTAGTGAGAAGGGGCGGAATAAGAGGGAAAGGAAATGTAGGAGAAAAAAGGAGAGGAGAGAGGGCGTGAAAGTAAGAAAGAGGAGATGGCGGCAAAGTAAACAAAAGGAGGAGGGGGGGGGGGGCTGCAACCTCTTCCTGCCTCCTGCACTGCCCGGCCCTCCTCGCCGTGCCCGAGGCGGACGTGTTCGTGCTATGGCCATGGGCAGTCGGGCCATTTGAGAAACGGCGCGGCTGGCCCTGAGCCCGCGGAGTGCCCGGGCAGCGCCCAGCGTCCGGGCACCGAGGGTCGCGTGGCACTGGCCAGCGCCCGTCAGTCTTCGCCGACCCGCGCTCCGACCAGCATCATGGCGTCCCCTCGAGTAGGTTTCTCGCGACGAGACGCGTGTGCCGGCGCTGTCTCACGAGCGCGCTTCTGGAGTTCCTGTGGTGATGTAACAGAGCGCCTCTGCGGTGGTGGTGGCTGTGCCCTTTGCTAAGGCCTCGGGGCTAGAGAGTTCTGTGGAATGGAAAATAACGTGCTACGGTATAACATATGATCCGGGATTCTCGAGCCAGTGAGAGTGGTTAGGGCCGGTCTAGGTGTGAATCCTCAATGAACTGTAAAATTCTCCTGCAATGTACTTTTTTTTGGAAATGGCACACCTCTGTTAGAACCGGTATTTTCAAACAGAAACGAAAATGCTCTGGAAACGAACGTGACAATTAGCTTATTTGGAGAAACGGGTCATTAGCCTTTAGTATACTTATTCTGCTCCCTTCTAAATACTAGATACCAAGATGTGTGCTAACGGTTGCTAAATCCAAAAGTGCACAGCGTATGCTAACTAGTCGAACCTGTTCCAAATGGCAGGAGGCCGGGGTTGCACAGACTGGCCTGGATTCATTTTTTGTTGATGGGAAAAGGTGCCGTACGCTCTCCTGCTTAGGCACAGGCAGGGACGCTAGAGTCATCCATTGTGGGTTCAAGGCATAAATGTTAGGATTCTTTGGAAGATCCTCATAGCCAAATTCACGGAAAAATACTCGTAAACATACACCCACTAACTCCTCTCTATTTTCCTTCACCCCCCCACTCTCTCTCTCTCTCTCATTTTCTCTCTCTCTCTCCCCCTCCTTCTCTTCTCTCTCTCTTCTCTCTCTCTCTCTCTCTCTCTATCCCCCTCTCTATTTTCCTTCACCCCCCCTCTCTCTCTTTCTCTCTCTCCTTCTCTATCTGTCTCTCTCTCTCTCTTTTTCTCTTTCTTCTTCCTCCTCTCCTCCATTCTCTCGCTCTCTCTCTCTCTCTCATTTATTATCTCTCTCTCTTTCTCACACACACACGCTCGCACAAGCGCGAAAACACACATTTCTCCCCTCTCTATGTCTCTCCCTTCCCCTCTCTCTCTCGCTTTCTTTTTCTCTCTCTATCTCACTCTCTATTCCCTTCTCCTACTTTTTTTCTTTCTCTCTCTCTCTCTTTATCTTTCCCCTACACACACACATATTCCCAAACACTCACCTTCCCGCCACAAACAAACAAACGCCATAAATCCAAACCTCTCAAACCCAATAATCCTAGAAATGGATCCAGATTTCGAGTAAAAGCTCTCAAGGTCGCCTTCGCTTCGGCAAGACTTCTGGCCGATAGAAAGTTCTGGAAACTCAAAATTGCGCAAACTACATCCACTCAAAATTGCGCAAGCCCCATTAACCAAAACGGAGCCCAGCCAGATTTTACTGGAGCGAATGCACATGGAGTTTTTATTACTAATTAAAGATAATAATAATAAATGTAAAAAAATGCAGATGGAGTCCCTGTTGCTTTAAATTTTCTGAGCAGGTTTTGTGCTCTCGTTTTTTCCTTCTTTTTGTTTATTTATTTGTATGTTTGCTTGTTTATTTATCTACTTATATTTGTTATATATCTGGTTTCATAATTTTATCCGAGTTGATATGTGCTGTTTTTTACGGCTTTATTATTTATATCTTTATTTATTTTTATCTTATCTTTTTGTGTTTATATATTTGCGTTTCTAAATTTGGTCCGACGTTTTAATTTTTGTTTTCTTCATCTGTTTTATTATCGCTTTTTTAAATTTTTTATCACCGTGTTTCTATTCCTCCGCGTTCTTGTGTATTTTACTTTTTTATATCGGTGTATGTCCTCCAACTTATCGCTTCGTTTGTCTGTTTGTCTTCCTGATGTAATTGTCTATCTATCTATCTGTTTATCTGTCTATCTGTTACTTTGATTGTTTGTCTGTCTAAAGGTCTATTTATTGTCTGTCTGTCTATTTGTTTGTCTTCTATCTACCTATCTACCTATCTCTGCTCTTTCTCTTAATGTCTGTCTGTCTTTCTCTAAATCTGTCTACCTCTCTGTCCAGTGACGTAGATAAGGGTGGGTGGGGCGGGGGGGGTGTGTGTGAATCATGACATCAAAGGAAAATATCAGAAATTTAATAAAGATTAATCATACGTATAATTTTGAATGACTTTAAATGACTTCGGTCATGAGATACTGAAGGAATGATTATGATTATTCTCGTTAGTGTGTGTGTGTCTGTGTGCAAAATTCGTTGATAGATGTACTTTCATTTCATATTTGATAGAACAATTCATTCTGAATATCATTCCGTTCGTATTT